TCAGGATTCCACCTATGGTGTTATGTAATGCAGAGGCTCTGCAGGAAGCCTCCTTCACTGGGCACATTGTAGCCCCATTTTAGGTAGTCCAATCAGTTATAGGCAGAAGATGGGCTTACAAGCTTTGTATGGTGATATTTCTGGCTATTCCTTTCTCTGTCCCTCAAGTGTCTATTTTATAATGGTATGCCAGGGAAACTAAGATTCAAACATTATTTCCCCCATTTTGCCCATTCCAACCATGTCTCAATCCCTGTATCCCAGATCCCTCTTGTTCCAAGATTGTACATACAACATTATTTACCTCTGTCCCACTTAGTCCATGCAAACCTGCCTAATTATTCTCCTATCTGCTTTGTTCTTCCATTCTCCTCCTTTTTCTTGTGTATTACCCCCCTCCCTAGCACCCAAACTATCCTGTGTCTATTCCCTACCCTGTTTAGCTGTAATGTTAATGGAGGTCACCTGGTATGGTGATGTAAGGTCAGCACTGGACTGTGAAACACAAGATCAGCACTTCAAACCTACCAGATGCTCCTTGGAAAACCTATACATTGTTGCTATGAGTTGGAACCAACTCAACAGCACTTAACAACTACAATAATAATCTTAATGGAAGCAGGATGCAGTTTTCCAGAACTTTTCTTCCATGGAGCTGCTGCTGGATAGGCTCAAACTAGCAACCTTTAGGCTAGCAGCTGATCACACACTTCTGAGGCACCCAAGCTGCTTCTATATATGCATCCTACCACCAACTGCTCTCTGTTCCACCAACCACTGGTATCGAGTCAATTCCAGCTCATAGCGATCCATTATAGTGTTTCTGGGACTATAATCTTTACAGAAGCAGACAGCCTCATCTCTCTCCTGTGGAGTGATTGAGGATTAGCAGCCTTTTGGTTAGCAGCCCAGTGCCTAACCCAAGTTGCCACCAAGGATCCATATACATAAGCATAGATAGAGCTTTCATTTTTTAGTAATCACAAATAGATCTAATATTTCTGTAATTCATTCCTCACATTTCCTAAGGAGAGGTAATTGATGCCCAAGACTTAGACAATTTTCTGGCAAGCAAGGGAATTGAGCTCACAGAAGAAGAAATGAAGGAGCTGATGCCTCAACTGACATTTAATAGTAAGTTTTTCAATTAATTAGTTCTGTTGTCTTTCAAGGAGTGTGTCTTTGTTGTTCAATGAATAAGTCATCTTTTAAATCTTGTAAGAAATGTAATTGGAATTTTTTTACTTTGTGGTTTTATTTAAAGATATTTGGGGGACTTCAAATTGTTTATCTCTGGTAAAAAAGTTTCTGGAAAATAGAATTGGAAGACAGTGGAATTTTTCTACAGACTTTTGAAGCTTCCCAGTACATCTCTGCAAACCAAAGCAGTGGCTGTCCAATGGCAAAGTGGTTAAGTTTCAGGGATTAGAACCCAGCCACTCTATCAGAGTCTGCTTCTGTAAAGATCACAGTCTTTGGACAACCTGAGACTATGGTCCTCGGCCACCCTTCAGGTCTGGAACAGAACTCACCCTTGTGGCCCAATTTTCAGTCAAATACATAAATTAGTACATAGGGGGAACAGCAGTAATAGAAAGGTATGGTCAGCCATTCAAGATCAAAAAGGCAACATTTACTGAAGGGTTGAGAAGGAGGGTGGGATGGAAATAAGAACCACAGAGAGGAGGTGTGGGATAAGTGATGTTACCTGTAAAGGATTGCAAACATTGAGATGAAAGAAAGTTTATGATTTGTTGAATGTAAAACTGATTATCTGCTCTGTAAACCTTCATTCAATTCACAATAAAAAGTTTAAAAAAAAAATTGCCCCTTTGGAAACCCTATGGAGCAGTTCTAGCCCACCCTATTATAGGGTCACTAAGAGTCCTAATCAACTCAACATCAATGGGTTTTGAGGGTGAGTCAAAAAGTGTTGGTACTAAAGCTCTAGTTCATATATGCATAGATTTATTCCAAGCCAAACATGTTTAAACATAGCTCTGCAGACAGTGGATGGCTGCAGACAAGGGCTGTCAATAGTACACTTGTCTTAATCCCATTAGGGTGCCTTCAGAAAAGGATTCGATCAAGATAATGGCTTCTGAGGGAATCTGCTGGGCCAGTTAAATTTAAGGCAGAGAGGTCAGCTCAGGAGGTAATGGTGACTGTTTTTTGGGATTTCTGAAAGGACATGATAAGACATAGGTCAATCTCAGGACTTCATTAGGAAGAAGTTTTAAGAAAATTGAAAACTGCATTGGTGAGAAAAAGGTCAATATGGTCACACTGAGGGTTTTTCCATTAACAACCAGGCACCTGCTCTTTCTACGAGGGCAGCAAGGATTATCCAAGGAGAAGTGCATTTGGAAGCCTTACCCCATACATCCTACTGTCTGATCTTGTTTTGTTTCGCTTTGTTCCCAAAACTCAAAGAACATTTCAAAAGAACACAATTTGAGTCCCTAAGGGATTACAAACTAAGTTGTTGTTGTTAGGTGCCATCGAGTTGGTACCAACTCATAGTGACCCTATACACAGCAGAACGAAACACTGCTCAATCCTAGGCCAACCTCACTACTGTTGCCATGCTTGAGTCCATCGATGTTGCCACTTGGCCAATCCATCTCATTTAGGGACTTCCTCTTTTTCTCTGATCCTCCACCTTATCAAACATGATATCCTTCTCCAGCAACTTGACCCTCCTGACAATAGGTCCTAAGTATGAGTAAAAAATATCAGTAAATGTTTTAAGTCCTCTTCACTTTCAGCAAGCAAGGTTTGCATATTACAGGTTGTTAAAGAGTCTTCCTCCAATCCTGATGCCCACATTTTTCTTCATAAAACCCAGCTTCTCGGATTATTTGCTCAGCATACAGGTTGAATAAGTATAGAGAAAGAATACAACCCTGTCGCACACCCTTCTTAAATTTAAACCATTCAGTGTACCCATGTTCTGTTCAAACAACTGCCTCTTGGCCAGGTACAGATTCTTCATGAGCACAATTAAGTGTTCCGGAATACTCTTACTTCGCAGTGTTGTCCATAGCTTGTCATGAGCCACACAATCGAAAGCCTTTGCAAAGTCAATAAAGCACAGGTAAACAAACATCTTTCTGATATTCTCTGCTTTCAGCCAAGATCCATCGGATATCAGCAATGATATCCCTCGTTACACAGCCTCTTCTAAATCCAGCTTGAACTTCTGGAAGTTCTCTGTCAATGTATGCTTGCAGCTATTTCTGTATTGTTGTTGTTGTTGTTTTGTGCCGTGGAGTTGGTTCCAACTCATAGCAACCCTGTACAGGGTTTCCAAGGCCATAAATCTTTACAGGAGCGGAAAGCCTCATCTTTCTCCCGCAGAACAACTGCTAGTTTTGAACTGCTAACCTTGCAGTTCACAGCCTGATTTGTAGCCACTACACTACCAGAGCTCCTTATTTCTGTATTACCAACTTTACTTGCATGGGATATCAAAGAGATTGTCCGATGATTTCCACATTCTGTTGGGTCACCTCTCTTTGGAATGGGTACAAATACTAGTATCTTCCAATCAGTCAGCCAGATAGTTGTCTTCGAAATTACTTGGCAGAGATGAGTGAGTGCCTCCTGTGCCACCTCACTTTCTTAAAAGATTTCAATTTTTATTCCATCAGTTCCTGGTGCCTTGTTCTTTGCCAATTCCTTCAATATACCTTGGACTTCCTCCTTCAGTATCATTGGCTCTTGATCATATGCTACCTCTTGAAACTGTTGGACATTAACCATTTCCTTTTGGTACAGTGACTCCGTGTATCCCTTCCATCTTCTCTTGATGCTTTCTGCATCATTCAGTAATTTGCCCAGAGAATCTTCAACAATGAAAGTCGAGGCTTGAATCTTTTCAATTCACCCAGCTTGAGAAATGCTAAGCGTGTTCTTCCTTTTTGGTTTTCTGATTCTAGATATTTGCACATTTTGTTATAATATTTGGCTTTATCTTCTCGAGCTGATCTTTGAAATTTTCTGTTCAGCTCTTGGACCTCCTCATTTCTGCCATTTGCTTTAGCATCTCTACGCTGGAGAGCAAATTTCAGTGTCTCTTCTGACATCCATTTTGACCTTTTCCTTCTTTCTTGTCTTCTTATTGATGTTATGCTTTCTTCATGTATGATGTTCTTGATGTCATCCCACAACTCTTCTAGTCTTCAGTCTTTAGTGTTTAATGTATCAAATCTGTTCTTCAGATGATCTCTAAATTCAGGTGGGATATATTAATATTTTGGCTCTCGCGGTCATATTTTGGCTATCATGGAATTTTTTTCATTTTCTTCAGCTTCAGTTTGAATTTGCATATGAGAAGTTGATGGCCTTTTCCACAGTCTGCCCCTGGCCTTGTTTTGACTGATGATATGGAGCTTTTCCATCATCTCTTTCCACTGATGTAGTCAATTTGATTTCTATGTATTCCATCTGGCGAGGTCATCTCTTATGCTGTCTAAAGAAGGTATTTGAAATGAACAAATCATTGATTTTGCAGAATAAGTAGTAAGTATTAATTATAAACTACTTACTTATAATGTGGCATCAGGATTGGGGAAGACTCATTAACAACCTGCGATATGCAGATGATACAACCTTGCTTGCTGAAAGTGAAAAGGACTATAAGTATTTACTGATAAAGATCAAAGAGCACAGCTTTTGGTATGGATTGCATCTCAATGTAAAGAAAACAAAAATCCTCACCACTGGACCAATAAACAACATTCTTATCAGTGGACAAAAGATTGACGTTGTCAAGAACTTCATTCTTCTTGGATCAACTATCAACACTCATAGAAGCAGCAGTCAAGAAATCAGACAACATATTGCATTAGTCAAATTTGCTGCACAAGACCTTTTTAAAGTGTTGAAAAGCAAAGATGTCAGCTTGAGGACTAAGGTGTGCCTGACCCAAGCCATGATATTTTCAATAACCTCATATACACACAAAAGCTGGACAGTGAATAAGGAAGACCATAGAAGAATTAATGCATTTGAGTTATGGTATTGGAGGAGAATATTGAAATTGCATGGGCTGCCAAAAGAACCAACAGATCTGTGTTGGAAGAAGTGAAGCCAGAGTGCTCCTTGGAGGCCAGGATGGCCAAACTTCGTCTCTCATACTTCGGACATATTGTCATTAGCGACTAGTCACTGGAGAAGGATATCATGTTTAGTAAGATGGAGAGTCAGAGAAAAAGAGGAAGACCCCCAATGAGATGGATTGGCAAAGTGGCAGCATCAATAGGCTCAAGCGTGGCAACAATTGTGAGGTTGGCCCAGGACTGGGCAGTGTTTCGTTCTGTTGTGCATCGGGTCACTGTGAGTCGGTACCAAGTCGATGACACCTAACAACAACAACAGCAACAACTTACTTATAACAGTAAGTAGTATACTTTTACTATTTAATTCCTAAATTAATGTTAAATTTTTAAATATCTAGTGTTATTTTTTTTCAATTTCACACTGTTACCAATTTGCTGAGTTTTTATGCAAGTGCCTCTTTACCTGAATCAAATTTGTAATGTAGGAAACGGGAAGATTGAAGTGGATTCAATAATGGAGGGCCTAAATAAGGTTAAAGGTGAGTGAAAAGTTGTCATGAAATATAAAATTGACCACCTAATGCTATGTACTTATATATAATTTATTGACTACAAAAATAATGACTTCATTGCAGAAAAATTGGATACTCAGAAAACAAAAGGCTGAAAATAGAATTAAAAAAAAAAAATCCTTTGTTCTATCATATAATTTTTATCAATTTTTTTCCTTCTTGTTGTTAAGTGCCATTGTTAAGTGCTATCAAGTCGGTTCCAACTCATAGCGACCCTGTATCACATTTCCAAGGAACGACTGGTAGATTAAAACTATGACTTTGCAGTTAGCAATCCAGTGCTTATCCTACAGCACAGTGCACAATATTTCTTTGTGTTGAGTCCTGGTTCCTGTTCTGCCAATAACTGATTAATAATTTATTTAACCCTGATGAATCTTGGTTTCTTTATCTGTAAATAGGAAATTGAACTAAATTATTTTCTATGGTTAGTTCTTGCTATGACATTAACATGATAATGTATTTTCTTACTAATATTAAAATCTCACGTATTTATAATTATTTCTAATGACCTAAAATTTATTTGTTGCCTATATAATTTAATAGATAGCTTCAATACTTTTCATCCCTTACATAGAAAAGATTGGATGTAAGGTTGAAAATGAATGGAAGGTATGAAATTGTCGATATGAGCAAGGAAAAAGTTGTCTTCGCCCCCGTCCCCCAACACACACACATACACACATGCACGCTCACATAACCTCAGTCTGCACTTGATTTTTAAAATAATTTAGCTTTGCTCTTCTACATCTGCATTTCTCAACAAGTGTGACAAAAAAAATTGTGTATTTCTGTAAGCCTGAGTATGTTTAAAAATCTACTCCTCACTTCATGACACGGTTAGGTTCCAAAGACCAGGTCATTATACAAAAATGGATATTATGTGAAAATTGGAGGATGACCATATCCTTATAAAACTGCCACATTTCATCATTACACAACTACCAAATTATATTACTATATAACTGCCAAACCACTGAGAAGAGCCATGGCCCAGTCAGCTGACCCGTAACTGTAACCATCAAAGGCAGCAGTACTCTTGCTCCCACCTGAGTGTTCTTTACCATCAGATGTACATCGGTAATGAGCAAAACAGTCTGATAGTAGATTTTTTACTATTGTCAAAAATGAGAACTGTTACATAACAAGCTAGTCCATTAATGAGGAACAGGTGTACTTTTAAATAATTTGGTGCTGTAGGATAAGCATTGGACTGAAGATCAGCAGTTCAAACTCACCAGGTGCTCCTTGGAAACCACACACAGGGTAGCTATGAGTCAGAACTGACTCAATGGCACTTAGCAACAACTCTTTAGAGAGTCCTGGTGGGGAGCTATAGGATAAACACTGGGCTGCTAACCACAAGTCAGCAGTTCAAATCTACTAGACACCCCTCAGGAACCTTATACATGATCGCAATGAGTTAGAACCGACTCAACAGCACTCAACAACAAAAGCTCTCTTTAGAATATGAGCCCTCAAATTCTAGGACTGACTTTTGTAGTTCAAAAGGCACAATCAAGAAAATGAAAAGGCAGCCGACAAACTGGAAGAAAATATTCATAAATCTTACACCCACTAAGGTCTAATATGCCGAATTTATAAAGAACTTTGTAAATTTTTGTTGTTGTTAAAATATTTATTTTGCTGTTGTTAAGTGCCATGCAGTCGGTTCAGACTCATAGTGACCCCTGTATAGGGTTTCCGAGGCTTGTTTAAATCTTTGCAGGAGCAAAAAGTGGAGCATCTGGCAGGCTTGAACCATGGACCTTGTGGTTTGTACTCCAGTGCTTATTGTATGGAGCCACTGTGCTCCTAAGAATTCTTGATTCAACAGTAAAATTGCAAATAACCCCACTTTTAAATAGGTAAAGGATCTGAATTGGCATTTCTCCAAAGAAGAGATGTCCCATAAACATATGAAAAGATGTTCAACATCAATTAGAAAAGGAAATAAAAAACACACCAGCACTTCACACCCACTAGGCTGGCTATAATTAAATAAGCAGACAGTAACAAGTGTTTCCAAGGATACAGAGGAATCTGAACCCTCAAACAGTAGCACCTCTATAAAGGGTTTCAGAGGAGCGGCTGGTAGGTTTGAGTCTCTGACCTTGAGCAGTCCAGTGCTTATCCTATAGCACCACACCAGGACTCTTTCATGCAGTGTTATTGGGATAGAAAAGGGCATAGTCATCTTGGATAATGTTTAGCAGCTCCTCAAAAAATTAAACATGAAGTTACCATACCCAACTGCCATTCATTTTATTCCAATTCCTATATACAGTTTCTGAGACTATAAATCTTTACAAGAGCTGAAAGCCTCATCTTGTGAGCATGCTATTCCTCTCCTAGGTATATGTCAAAGAGAAAATAATTCTGTGCTGACACAGAAACTTGTACATGAATATTTGCAGCAATATTACGTATAATAGCCAAAAAATGGCAGTGACATAAATGTCCATCAACTGGTGTATGAATAAATAAAAGGAAGTATATCCATCCAGTCATAAAAAATGAAGTACTGACACATGCTACAACACGGATAAACCTTAAAAACATGCTGAGTGAAGAAAAAATTTTTAAAAAACCAGACACAAATGGTTACATATTGTATGATACCATTTTTATGATGTGTCCAGAACAGACAAATACATAGAGACAGACTGTCGATAAGTGGTTACCAAAAGCCAAGAGAGAAAGAACTAGACAGCAACTGGTAGGTACTAGGTTTCTTCTGGAGTGATCAAAATGTTCTAGAATGAAATTGTGATGATGGCTGTACATCCCAGACCTCATCGAATTGACTGGATTGTGTACTTTAAAGCTCAAATTGTATGGTGTCTGAATTATACCTCAATTTTCAAAAATTCTGGGATGAACCCAGCAAAGTATCTGCTGAAAGAAGCAAGGGCTCAGAATCTCTGCCTTTAAGTGTGAAATAAATAAATAAATTATAGACAAGCTCCAGACATAGGCATCCAAAGTTCTAACCCAAAGCATTTCCCTTCTCTCCAGTGGACCAAACTATGGAACTCCTAGGACCATCAGCCCCTCTCAGGAATATCACACAAATCAGCCCCTCTCAAGATATGCCCGCAAATAAAATCAACTGATTCTAGAAATCAGTTCTACATCCCATTTAGTTCTGGATGACTGGATAATTTGGTAAAGCTAAATTATAATACATGGCTACTACCCCATAATGAAGTCCTGGTGTGGTGCTATAAGATAAACACTGTACTACAGTGTTGGTTTCAACCACCAGATTGGGGGTTCAAAGTCACCAGCCACTCCTCGGAAACCTAGTACAGGGTCGCTATGAGCTGGAACTGACTCGACGGCATTGAAAAACAACAACCCATAATATTTTAATTCTTCATGTATGTTTAAAAAAAAAAAACAACAGTTGTCACTGAGTCAATTCCAACTCATGCTGACCTAATGTGTTGTAGAGTAGAACCATGATCCATAAAGTGTTTATGGCTGTGACCTTTTGGAAGCACATACCCAAGCCTTTCTTCTGAGAAGCTTCTGAGTAGGCTTCAACCACCAACCTGTCAGTTAGTAGCTGAGCACTTAACTGTTAGTGACACCCCGAGACTCCTTCCTTATGTTATTGTTATTGTTATTGTTGGGAGCTGTCAAGTCAGCTCTGATTCCTAAGACAACAGCATGAAACCCTGCCCAGTTCTGTACCAGCCTCAGAATCATTGCTATGTGTCCTTCTCCAGGAACTAGTCCTTCCTGATAAAAAGTCCAAAGTACGTGAGACCAAGTCTCACCATCCTTGCCTCTCCAACACTGGTTTATGCTTCTGGGAGTCCATGGTACACTCAGTATTCTTTGACATCACCATAATTCTCCAATCTTCCTTCCTCACTGTCCATCTTTCACACATGAGGAAAAGAATCGATGCCTTTATGCCTTTATGGGGGAACTGTCCTTATCCCCACTTTAAATCCTGGTAGCTCCTATAGCATAGTTGGAGTCCTTTTGTGGTGCTGTAGGATAAACACTGGACTGCTAACCCCAAGGTCAGTGGTTCAAAGCCACCAGCTGCTCCTTCGAAACCCTATAAAGGGTCTCACTATTGAAACCAACTCCACAGCACTTAAAAACAACATAGTTTGGTAGGTTCTTAGTAAATTTTTGTTGAATTAATTTGTAAATAAAATTTCCCCTTTCTTTGCCTTTGTGTCCCTTGCCAGAATAGAATGTTGTTTTTGTTAAGTGCCGTTGGGTCAATTCCAACCCATAGCGACCCTGTATAGGGTTTCCAAGGAGCAGCTGGTGAACCTGAACCACCGACCTTGCAGTTCAAATGACTTTGCAGTCTGATACATTAGCCCACAGCGACTTACCGGGACTCCCCAGAACAGAATGTTGTTATTGCTATGTGTCGTGGACTCGGTTCTGATTCATAGCGACCCTGTACAGACTTTAAAGAGTTTCTGAGGCTGTAAATCTTTAGGGGAGCACAAAAGCTTCATCTTTCTCCCACGGAACAGCTGGTAGTTTCGAACTGCTGACCGTGAGATTAGCAGCCTGATTCATAACCACTACGCTACCAGAAGAGTCCTGATGCACACTGTGGGTTAATGCACCAGACTGCAAAGCCGTTTGAACTACAAGGTCAGTGGTTCAAGCTCACCAGTCGCTCCTCGGAAACCCTATACAGAGTCGCTATGGGTCGGAATCGACTCAACAGCACTTAACAACAACAACAACAACGCTACCAGAGCTCCAAGAATGTAGCAAATTGGAGAAGATGATAGTGAAGTCAAATGATGCTCAGAATGAACTCCAGAGCCAGAATCAGCAACCTCTAGAATGGCTTTCACTAAGGAAAACCTGAAGCAATGTCAGGGGCCGACCGTACACCTAGCTAAGCCTTCGGATTCTGCCACAGGTATTGACAGTTCCAACAGACCTGACAATCTAGTTCCAAAAGAAAACTCTATGGGATGCTCTCTGAACACAGAGTCAGAATTAACTAGACAACTAATCACAATAAGCCTTGGGGTCTCACAGTAGTATTTGTGCTGAGTCATGATACAGACCATAAAGACACTCTCAACTGCTGCACTTGAGCATTTACAATACCATGAGACATGTCCAGTCTTGAAAATTATGGTATGATTAAAGCATTCATAACTCTTTAACTGCTCTTTTGTAATCAATTTACTAAAGTCTACAAGCTTATGAGGGAGTGTGGTGGCTATATAAGATAAGTGCTGGACAGTGAACCACAAGGTCAACAGTGCAAGCCCACCAGCTGCGCTGTGGGAAAAAGATGAGGCTTTCTGCTCCCTCAAAGATATACAGCCTCAAAAACTCTATACAGGGTCACTATGAGTCAGAACCAACTCTACTACACTTGTTGTTTTTGTTAAATGCCATCGAGTTGGTACCAACTCATAGTGACCCTATGCACAATAGAATGAAATTACTACTGCACTTAATAACAACAAACTATGATGGTTTTTTTAACCTGTCTTCCTAGACTTAAACAATTAATGAAATGATTCGTAATCACCATTCAATCAAGGCAGCTACATAAAATGTTCTACCTGAACAATGTTCAACTCACTGATTTTTTGTGTTTTGGGGTTTGGGGGTTTTTTTAGTAGCTCAAAATCTTTTATAGAGAAAGGTACAGAATAAATAAATGAAATGATAAAACCTTAGATAAATATACTAATAAACACTCACATTTTCTTCACTGGTGCAAAGACAATGACAGCAGATCTTGTTTTGTTTTATTTTGGGGGGGGAATAAGGATTTTTTTTTTTTTTTTTTTTAGTTTTTGTGAATTGAGTGATAGTTTACATGGGAGAACATCAGTTTTACACTCACTAATGTTTAATATGAAAATATATTAACTTAGGAAAAAAACCCTCCCCTTTTTAAAGGACCAACAGTGTCAAAAATCCTCTGATTCTGTTATTTACCTCCTACACATAACCTCACGGTGCTGTAAGCCCAGTTGCTCTAAGGCTAGGAGTCTGTAGGTCAGTTCTCTCCCTGTGCCTGGACCTGAGTAGTGAATGAGGTCACAGTTGTATGATGAAACAAACCCTTTATTGGATTCTTGATCTGATTGAAGCCCACAAGTAGTCTGTACCACAGCTTACAGTAGGTGGATATCAGGATTTTGTGGGATTCTCTGCTGAGTTCCTTTTTTTTTTTTCATTTATCATTTCTATGAGAGATTGAAGATATATTTTTTAGGAAAAGGATTGTTTTGAACCAAGAGGAAGATTTGATAGCACCGTTCAAGTGCCCAAATTATTGAGGCTCTCTCCAGAGTCCCAAGCTCTGTGGTAGGTTCAGGATTTTGAGTACATGTCAGTAAGCTGTTTAGAACCAACTGCTTTCCAGGCATTGAGGTGACGATGTAGAAAAATTGATTGAATTATAACCAAACATACATTCAGAGACTTTCTTAGTCACAGTTTAATAGTATCTGATTATCCAGTATTCCTGGTCAGCAACCTAGTTGTTTTATCAGCAAACCACTTAATATCCCCTCCATTTTGTAAGGATAATTGAAGAGACAAGATGTTTTAGTCTAGTTTCTCTAGAGGAGCAAGACCAATATGAATAGAGGGAAATTTACTTCAAGGAAATGACTCATGCAATTGTAGGGATGGGCAGGTCTCAAATCTCTGGGTCAGGTAACTGACTGAAGACCTCTGCTGACTCACATGGTTGCAGGGACTGATGAACCCAAATGCTACAGGTTAGGCAGCTTCACTGGAGGACTTGACTGGCTCATGGTATGGTGGTAGGGTGATGGTGTGCCATGGAGTTGGTTCTGATTCATAGTGACCCTGCATAGGGTTTCTGAGGCTGCAAATCTTTATGGGAGCAGAAAGCCTCATCTTTCTCCCTCAAAATGGCTGGTAGTTTCGAACTGCTAAGCTTGAGGTTAGCAGCCTGACTTGTAACCACTATGCTACCAGATCTCCTTCATGGGAAGGTAGGGGCTGGCATATTCAAAATCTATAAATGGCAGGCTTATGTTCAAGGAAGAAGCCCTACCAACACACCTATGTTGTTGTTGTTAAGTGGAGTTGGTCCATCAATTGGTTTCAACTCATTCTTGTTGTTATGTGCCGTGGAGTTGGTTCCAACTCATAGTGACCCTGTACAAGTTTTCCGAGGCTGTAAATCTTTATGGGAGCAGAAAGCTTCATCTTTCTCCCATGGAACAGCTGGTAGTTTTTAACTGCTGACCCTGAAGTTAGCAGCCCAATTCATAACCACTATGCTACCAGAGCACCATAGTGACCCTGTATAGGGTTTCTGAAGAAAAACTGGTAGGTTTGACCCATTGACCTTGTGGTTTGCAGCCCAGTGCTGATCTTACAGCACCACATCTATGATCCATCCAACACCAAAATACCAAAACCCACTTCCATCAGATAGATTCCAAATCATAAAGACAGAATAGAACTGCCCTATAGGGTTTCCTACTATGTGCTGTGGGTTAATGCACCAGATCACAAAGTCATTTGAACTGTAGAGTCAGCGGCTCAAGCTCACCAGCTGCTCCTTGGAAACCCTATACAGGATTGCTATGGGTCGGAACCAACTCAATGGCACTTAACAACAATGTAGGGTTTCCAAGACTGTAAATCTTTACATAAGCAAACTGCCAGACCTTTCTCCCACAGAGTGGCTGGTGGGTTCCAATCACCAAAACTTTTGGTTAGCAACCCAGCGTTTTAAGGACCATGACATCAGGGCTTGCTTACTGGTTCATGTTGTTATTAAGTACCATCAAGTCGGTTCTGACTCATAGTAACGCTGTATAGAGTTTCCAAGCCATCAACCTTGTGGTTAGCAGTCCAGTGCTTATCCTACAGCACCATATCAGGAGTCTCTGGGTATCACTAACAGTTAAGTGGTTCATAAGCCCTATTTTCAAATTCTATATAGAAGTGGAAAGGGATGAATAGGGAGGCCAGAGTGATCCACGTTTCCATTCAGGAGGGCCTGGAGCAGTGAAATATCAGTGCATGCCACTCCCATACTTTTAAAACAGAGAAGTGGGTTTATAAGAACCGACAAGACAGAGATGGGCCTCTCAAAGGAAACCCTACCATATAAACAAATAGATAAATATTTTTTTAGTGCTATACTATATTCAGTATTTTTATGTAGAATCACAGGGTTACTTTACTATTTGAAGGGGAGCAATGGCAACAACTTTTGCTTAGAGATTTGAGAACAATAAAGGTTTCTTCCACATGGTCAACCAACTGTGCATATCTGTAACTTAAATTTGCACACATTTATCCACCATTCTTGGAGGCCTTGGACTTGAAACTCCAGAGAGCCTTGTGCTGGTCAAGGTGCAAAAGAACGTAGATAAATGAATCTGAGTTAAGTTTATTTAATCCTGTTTAATCCTTGTTTCATCTGAATTACAGACAGAGTCACTGGCCACATGACAGCTTCTGAGATAAGATCAAAACTTAAGCTGAATCCTCTAACAAAAGTACCACTGTCCCATGGCAAGAGGTAGGAAGTGAATGTATTAAAGTAATGAATATATTTATTAAGGTAATGAATTATTAGGATGACAAGTAAGTGTATGCTCTTCCAATATCTATTCTCTGATAATCTTAGTTATAAATTAAATATAAATTGAAGATGAAGATTTTTATAAAAAGATGTTGTTGTTCTTAAATGCAGTCAAGTCATGGCAACCCCATATAGGGTTTCTAAGGAGTGACTGGTGGATTTGAACCACTGACCTTGTGGTTAGCAGTCAGCTGATAGCACCACACCATAAGACTTTTTATTGAAGAAACAAAGTGTCCTCCTTCCTATTCTCCCCAGTGAGGGCACAGAATGCCCTAGGTGGCTCAGGAAGTTGTCAGTAATAAAAACATATTTTGAGTATCTGTTTACAGGAGAAGACAATTAGATCATAAAGAAGACCCAAACCACTAAACAGGTCAGAGTATATATGAAAGGGTGTGTAGCTTAAATATGGCCAGGAAGATGAAATCATGTAACTTGACCAATTCTAAAATTAGGAAGCCAGGTTTGCTGGTGACATGAACCATCACTTATACTCAGTCTGCTAACAACGGATTCCAAAAAACAGCCACTAATGCCTGAGAGTAAGACCCCATTCTACACTTTATCAGATCAGAAGAAGAGGCTCTCTTCTCCCACAATTATCTACAGGATTTCCTTTAGCACTTTCAGAGTATCCTGCTGAAGGGAATACATTACAAACTTCTTTAGAAGGAAGAGGGTAAGATACCCTCCTATACGCTAAATCCTTGGGTCCATTGTTCTCTTTCCCTGCATTACAAGCTGTCCTCTTCTTCTTTTTTTTTAGTTCCAAACATTACAGTTTATTCCACTTAAAGTCATGACTGTTGATATGTAAACATGAACATTTTGCAGCTGTCTTTTGAAGTAGTGAATTTCTTTTCACTGACAATAATCAAGCAATGACTAAATATCAACATTAGATGAGAGACTAGGCTAAATTCATTACAAGTCTCAGGTTCTTGTTCCTTTGAAATAAAGCAGAATAAAAGACTTTTTCCAATTATTCAATCTGGGATAAGGTTTGAACATCTGTCAAGAATATACTTTTAATGTAGCTAATAAAGGCCTTCTACTTTACTCTTAGGAGCTCTGGTAGCGTAGTGGTTATGAATCGGGCTGCAAACTGCAAGGTCAGCAGTTCAAAACTACCAGCCGTTCCGGGGAAGAAAGATGAGGTGTTCTGCTCCCATAAAGATTTACAGCCTCGGAAACTCTGTACAGGGTTGCTATGAGTTTGAACCGACTCCACAGCACACAGCCACCACTTTACTCTTGCTACTAGAAAATTTCAAGGAGCTCTGGGTTATAGTTTGGACTGCAAACTGTAAGATCAGCAGTTTGAATCTACCAACAGTTCCACGGAAGAAAGATGAGGCTTTCTACTCCCAGAAAGGTTTAGAGTCTTGGAAACCCTGTGAAGGGTTACTGTGAGTCAGCACCAACTTGATGGCATACAACCACCACAACTGCTGTCAGATCAGTCTCAACTCTAGTGACCTTATGCTCAACAGAACACACCGCCCAGTCCTATGCCAAGCTCCCAATCATTGTTATACCTGAGCCCATTGCTGCAATCACTGTGCCAATCCATCTCGTTGGGGGTCTTCCTCTTTTACATTTACCCACCACTTTACCAAGCATGATGTCCCTCACAAGAGACTGGTCAATTTTGATAATATGTCCGAAGTATGAAAGATGAAGTGTTACCATCCTAGCTTGTAAGGAACATTCCGGCTGTACTTGTGATACAGATTTATTTGTTCTTCTGGCAGTCCATGGTACTTTTAATATTCTTCTCCAACACCATAACTCAAATTCATCAATTTTTCTACAGTCTTCCTTATGCATTGTCCAACTTTCACATACATATTGTTGTTGTTGTTAAGTGCCGTCGAGTCAGTTCCGACCCATAGCGACCCTGAACAGGGTTTCTGAGGCTGTAACTCTTTACAGGAGCAGAAAGCCTCATCTTTCTCCCGCAGAGCAGCTGGTAGTTTCGAACTGCTGACCTTGCATTTGCAGCCCAATTCATAACCACAACACTACCAGAGCTCCAGGTTATTGAAAATAGCATGGCTTGGGCCAGGCACACTTTAGTCCTCAAACTAACACCTTTGTTTTTGGACACTTTAAAGAGGTCTTGTGCAGCAGATTTACCCAATGCAATACATCGTTTGATTTCTAGACTGCTGTTTCCATGAGTGTTGTTGGTGGGTCCAAGCAAAATGAAGTCTTTGACAACTTTAATCTTTTCTCCATTTATCATGTTATTGATGGTCCAGTGGTAAGGATTTTAGTTTTCTTTACATTAAAATGTAACCCACACAGAAGACTGTGGTTCTCGAATTGTGTGCTCAGCATATAGATTACAGATGGAATAAGTATGGTAAAAGAATACAACCCTAGTGCACACCTTTCCTGATTCTAAACCATTCAATGCCCCCTTGTTCTGTTCAAGCAACTGTCTCTTGGTCTATGTACAGGTTCCTCATGAGCACAATTAAGTGTCCTAGAATCCTCATTCTCTGCAGTGTTGTCCATAGTTTGTCATGTTCCACTCAGTCAAAAGCCTTTGCATAGTCAGTAAAGCACAGGTAAACATCTTCCTGGTATTCTCTGCTTTCAATCAAGATCCATCTGACATCAGCAAAGATATCCCTTGTTTCACATCCTTGTCTGAATCCAACTTGAGCCTCTGGCAGTTCCTTGTCTGTGTACTGTTGTATCCATTTTTAAATTAGCTTTAGCAAAATTTTACATGCTTGTGATATTAATGATATTGTCCAATAATTTCTGCATTTTCCATTGGGTCACCTCTCTTTGAAATGGCACAAACATGGATCTCTTCCAATCAGTTGGCCAGGTCAGATAGTTGTCTTTCAGATTTCTTGGCATAGATGAGTGTGTGCCTCCAGTGCTACATCAGTTTGTTGAAAGATTTCCATTTGTATTCCCAGATCCTTGTTCTTTGCCAGTGCCTTTAGTACACTTTGTACTTCTTCCTTCAGAACCACTGACTCTTGACCATATGCTAGCTCTTGAAATGGTTGAACATCAACCATTTCTTTTTGGTTCAATGACTGTACATTTCTTCCATCTTCTTTTGATGTTTTCCACATCATTCAATATTTATTTTGCCCATAGAATCCTTAAGTATTGAAAGCCAAGTTTTGAATTTTTCTTCTTCAGCTCTTTCAACTTGAGAAATGCTGAATGTATTCTTCCCTTTTGGTTTTCAAACTCCAGGTCTTGCACATTTCATTATACTTTACCTTGCCTTCTTGAGCTGCCCTTTGAAATGTTCTCTTTAGCTCTTTTACCTCCTCATTTCTTCCATTTGCTTTAGATCTCTATGCTGGAGAGCAAGTTTCAGAGTCTCTTCTGACATCCATTTTAGGCTTTCCCTCCTTTCTTATCTTCTTAATGACCTTTAGCTCTCTTTCTCTAATGATGTTCTTGATGCCATCATACAACTCTTCTGGTCTTTAGTCATTAGTGTCTAATGTATCAATTCTGCTCTTGCGATGGCCTCTAAGTTCAGGTGTGATACATTCAGGGTCATATTTTGACTCTTGTGAACTTGTTTTCATTTTCTTCATTGTCAGCCTAAACTTGCATAGGAGCAATTGATGGTCTGTTCCACTGTCTTCCCCTATCCTTGTTTTAGCTGATGATGTGGAGCTTTTTCACTGTCTCTTCTCACAGATGTAGTCAATTTGGTTTCTGTGTAACCCATCTTATGAAGTCCATAGGTATATATTTTATGTTATTTTAAACATTTTTTAAAAGGCATTTGCAATGAATAAGTCATTAGTCTTGCCAGATTCTACCATGCAATCTCCAATTACTTCTGTCACCAAGGCCATATTTTCCAACTACAGATCTTTCCTTTCTGTATAACATTACAATTCTAAGTACATGTAATGGTCAATGTACATTGATTGCATGATTAATCAATTTAGACTAAAGAAGTTGATAGAATTCTTCAATTTCATCATCACTGACTTTATGCTTTGTACGTAAGTTTAAATAATAATGGTATTAACTGGTCTTCCTTGTAGGCATATGGAAATTATCCTATCACAGATAGCATTATACTTTAAGATAAATCTTGAAATATTGTTTTTGATGATGAATGCCACACCATTCCTTCTTCAATTTGTCATTACTGGCATAGTAAACCATATGATATTCAGATTCAAAACTTATAATACCAGTACATTTCATCTTACTAATGTTTGTGCATTCCATTTCATTTTAGACAACTTCCAATTTTCCTAAATTCATACTTCATACATTTTATGTTCTAAGTATTAATGATTGTTTGCAGCTGTTTCTCCTCAATTGAGTTATGCCCCATTAGCAAATGAAGGTCCTGAAAGCTTTATCCCATTCCATCATCAAGGTCAACTCTCCTTTGAGGAGGCAGCTTGTCACCAGTTGTATTTTGAGTACCTTCCAACTTGAGGGGCTCATCATCTGGCACTGTATCTGATAGTATTTTCATGCTATTCACAATGTTTCAGTATTCAATATTCTGAAGCTATCTGGCAGTGTTCTGCTATTCATAAGGTTTTTGGTGACTGTACATTCAGAAGTAGTCCACCTCTCCTTCTTCCTCTCCTTTCTTAGTCTGGAAGTTCATCTTAAACCTGTCCACCATGGTCGACCCTGCTGGTGTTTGAAATATCTGTGGCATAGCTTCCAGCATGACAGCAACACTCAAGCCACCACAGTACAACCAACTGACAGATGAGTGGTGAACTACTGTGCTCAGTATTTCATACTGCTGCTTACTTATAAAGCCACAAAAACTAAAAAATCACATATTCCTTAAAGTTTTCAGTTCTACTAGTGTCAAAATTGAAAATATTTTACATAAAACAAAGTATAAAACTGTTATTCTTTGTGTAAGCTTTTTTTAAAATTACTATCTATTCTATAAGCAAATACATTTTTACATCATTCATATGTATATAGCGCAGATGGTTAGGTACTCTACTACTAACTGAAAGGCTGGGCCATTGGAACATACCTAGAGGCGCCTCAGAAAACAGGCCTCACAATCCCTAGTCAGAAGGTCACAGCCGGGAAAGGCCTAAGATGCAGTTCTACTCTGCACACAAAGATCACCATGAGCTGGAATCCACACAACAACAACAACAAATAATCAACTACTTCAGATCAATATAAGGCACTCCCAAAGTATCACATTTTCTACTTCTCCTGATTTTATTTTCTTAAGGGAATGAAGAAAGGTCAACCACAATTGCAAACTTTCCAACAGTTCCTTCTTCCTTTATCTCTCTTCCACTCTCCTTCACCTTTCTTTCCTGGCTCCTCCTTCCCTCCCTCTTCTCTGTCCTGTCTCCCTTACCCTCGGCTCTCTTAGGCTATATTCGGCAATATATATTTAAGAATCTAATAATAATCATATAAGGAAGACCATAGAAGAATTGATGCATTTGAGTTATGGTGTTGGAGGAGAATATTGAAAGTGCCATGGGCTGCCCATAGAACCAACAGATCTGTGTTGGAAGAAGTGCAGCCAGAGTGCTCCTTGGAGGTCAGAATGGTCAAACTTCATCTCTCATATTTCGGACATACTGTCAGGAGGGACCGGTCACTGGAGAAGAATATCATGCTTGGTAGGGTGGAGGGTCAGAGAAAAAGAGGAAGACCCCAGCGAGATGGATTGGGAAAGTGGCAGCATCAATGGGCTCAAGTGTGACAACAATAGTAAGGTTGGCCCAGGATTGGGCAGTGTTTCATTCTGCTGTAAATAAGGTCATTATGGGCCAGTACCTAACAACACCAGCATAATGATAGTCATGGACACAAACTTTTCTCCATAAGGATATTTACCACACATTGTTTATGCTATTTAGAAATGAAGCAACTTGTATTTCTAACAATATGAATATTATATATATGACTTACAGACTTGAGCTTTGGAGTCTGAAAAATTAAAATTAAAGCCCACATCTTCCACTCACTTTCTCTGTGATCTAGTACAAATTATTTAATCCCCCTGAGCTTCTTTTGTAAAATGATGGAAATCAGATGACGTGTGTTTTTAAAAAGAGAGTAAAAGTGATAGACAAATCTAGAGTTGACTTCAGTAGTCAACATTTCCTTACTGTTCATCTTGTCACTATTGACAAGTGACAGGTGTCTCAGGTAGTATGTTTCTAGATACAGTGTGATACTTACAGCCATTCCATTCAGCTAGAAACAACTATTTGCCAGTTACTTATATATGTATTAAATCTTTTCTTGTCTTTATCAGGGATAAAGATTCACCAGGACTTCTCCAAAGCCAAATGCAGTACAAAGAAAAGAAGTTGAATGCTTCACAAATGGAAGGTATTGAGATTCATCCCCAAAATTAATGGGTTTTGAGCACTTTCTAGCACTATAAAATGCCCTAGGTTTCTATCAAGCATTTTATAGTTTCTTTTATCAAGGAAACCTGTTAACTACCTGTTAACTTTTCACACAATTTTAGGGCAGGAATTATTATCTCCATACAATTAATCACTCAGAAAAAATGCTGATATTTGAATGTAATATGAAATGTTTTATTCTGCTGCCATAATTTGGGATATACTTTATTATGAGTTTATTTCTTCCTTCCCTAATTTTAGAAAATATTGTTGTTGTTAAATGCCATCAAGTCAGTCCCAACTCATAGCGACCCTATCTACGATTTCCAGGGAGCAACTGTTGGGTTTGAACCACCAACCTCACAGTTCAAACTGACCTTGTGATCCAGTTCATTATCTGCAGAGTCACACCATACATATATTTCATTTGGCTCTGGTTAGTGTCTTAAGTATTTTTTGGAAAAATTTTGAGTCTGCGTAAAACATGCACACACATATAATTTGGATCTGATTGATGTATTCATTTTCTGTAACTGCCATAAGAAATTACTACAAACTATGTGCCTAACACAACACAGAATTATTACCTCTCAGTCTGTAGGTCAGAAATCCCAGTGGGCTCAGTTGATTCCTCTTCTCTGGATCTTCCACTCATTACCACTGAGTTGTTTCTGGCTCACAGTGACCCTATAGGATAAAGTAGAACTGCCACATTGTTGTTGTTGTCAGGTGCCATCGAGTCGGAACCAACTCATAGTGACCCCATGCACAGCAGAACGAAACAATGTCCGATCCTGGGCCAACCTCACTACTGCTGCCACACTTGATGCCATCAATGATGCCACCTGGCTGATCCATCTCATTAGGGGTCTTCCTCTTTTTCTCTGACCCTCCACCTTACCCAGCATGACATCCTTCTCCAGCGACTGTTCCCTCCTGACAATATGTCCAAAGTATGAGAGACAAAGCTTAGCCATCCTGGCCTCCAAGGAGCACTCTGGCTGCACCTCTTCCAAAACAGATCTATTGGTTCTTTTGGCAGTCCATGGCACTTTCAGTATTCTCCTCCAACACCACAACTCAACAGCATCAATTCTTCTACGATCTTCCTTATTCACTGTCCAGCTTTCGCATCCATATGAGGCTATTGAAAATACCATGGCTTGGGTCAGGCTCACCTTAGTCCTCAAGCTGACATCTTTGCTCTTCAACACTTTAAAAAGGTCTTGTGCAGCAGATTTGCCTAATACAATATGTTGTTTGATTTCTTGACTGCTGCTTCCCTGAGTGTTGATGGTTGATCCAAGAAGAATGAAGTCCTTGACAACTTCAATCTTTTCTCCATTGATAAGAATGTTGTTTATTGGTCCAGTGGTGAGGATTTTTGTTTTCTTGACATTGAGATGCAATCCATACCGAAGGCTGTGCTCTTTGATCTTCATCATAGGATAAAGTAGAACTGTCACATAGGGTTTCCAAAACTATAATCTTTACCTAGCAGACTGCCACATCTTTCTACTGGAGAGCAATTGGTGGGTTCAAACCACTGATCTTTTTGTTAGGAGCTAAGCACTTAACCACTGTACTACCAGGGCTCCTTTTGCTAGGTCTTACAAGGCTGAAATCCCTGTGTCAGCTGGTCTGGGCTCTTTTCTGGAAGCTCTGAGGGAAATCTTTTCTCATGTTGTTGGCAAAATTCATTTCCTTGAGTTCCCCATTCTTTGCTAGTTGTAAACCAGGAGCCTCTCTCAGCCTGGTAAAGGTTCACCTCACTTTACTCCTCCATCTTCAAACAAGCAAAAGTAGGTAGAATCCTTCTCATGTTTCAAATCCCTCTGATTACCCCTTCTGCTACATCTCTCTTGATTCCAACTGGAAAAAGTTCTCTGTGTTTTAAGGCCTCATTTAATTCACTTAGATAATCCAGGATTTTCTGAGTAGACCTCACTTCCCAAACAACAACAACATGACTTCCCAATCTTAATTATGTTGTTGTTAGGTACTGGTACAAGAGATGAAATACTGTCTGGTCTTGCAACACATTCACAATTGATGTTTTATTTGAGCCCTCATTGCAACCACTGTGTTATTCATCTCCTCTGTTCTGTTGGCCCTCTACTGTACCAAGCATGATATCGTTTTTCAGACACTGACCCATTCTAGTAATATGTTCAAAGTACATGAGATGAAATCTCACCGTATCATGTCTAAAGAGCATTCTGGTTATACCTCTTCCAACACAGATTTGTTCCTTCTTCTGGAAGTCCATGATATATTCAAAATTCTCTGCCAACACCATAATTCAAATACATAAACTCTTCATCAATCTTCCTTACTCATTGTAAAGTTTTCACATGCATATGAGGTAATTGAAAATACCATGACTTGATTCAGGAGCACCTTAGTCCTCAAAGTGAGACATCTTTACTTTTTGACACTTTAAAGAGGTCTTTTGTAGATTTGCCCAGTGCAAATGTCTTGGTTGCTGCCTCTAAGGGCATTGACTGGGGATCCAAGTAACATGAAATCTGTCAGCAAGTAGAGTTTTCTCCATTTATTATGATGTTTATTGGTCTAGTTGTGAGGATTTTTATTCTTTTTATGTTGAGGGTGTAATTCATTCTGAAGGTTTATCAGCATGCTGGGTTGCATAATCTGCATATCACAGGTTGTTAATGAGTCTTCTAATCCTAATGATGTGTTCTTCATATATCCAGCTTTAAGGATTATTTGCTCAGCATACAGATTGAATACGTATGGTAAAAAGATACAGCCCTGGAACACACCTTTTCTGATTTTTAAAGCATGCAATAGCCCCTTGTTCTATTCTAATTACTATCTCTTGGACTATGTACAGGTTCAGCATGAACACAATTAAGAGTTCTGGAATTCCCATTCTTCACAATGCTATCCATAATTTGTTATGATTCACACAGTTGAATGCCTTGTGTAGTCAGTATAATACAAGTAAATGTTCTAGTAGTCTCTGCTTTCAGCCAAGATTCATTTGACATCAGTAATGATCTCTCTTGTTAACTACATCCTCTTCTGAATCGGGCTCGAATTTCTGACAGTTCTCTGTGTGTATACTACTATAATCATTCTTGAATTATCTTCAGCAAGATTCTGTGTATGATATTAATGATATTATTTGATAACTTTTTGCATTCTGTTGTTTACCTTTCTTTGGAATAGGTACATATATGGATGTCTTCCATTCCGTTGGCCAGGTAGCATAGAGGAGTGAGAGCTTCCTGGCACACAGGAGGAGTGAGAGCTTCTATTTATTGAAACAATTGGTATTCTACCAATTCCTTATTTATGCAATCTGAGAAATCTCTTCTGCCATGAAACAGCACATACACAGGTTCCAGGGATTAAGGTGCAAACATCCTTAGGAGGTCATTCTGTCTGTTACATTTGGGTTTCTACCCATTAGTTTCTTACCCAATTGAGGTCTCATGGAATAACACTGTCCTTTATAAGAAATGTCTATTAAGTTCTCATTTTTCTCTCAACATGTATCATCTGTATCATCTGCCCTAGTTCTATTAGCACATGTATTTTTCTCAAATGACTGTTCTAATTGCTAATTTAATTCCATATTCCCAGCCTTCAAAAATGCCTACAACTTATTTACCAGGGATAAAACTGACTGTATTGATTTACATGGAATGATGTGTACTTTAGCTAAGTTGGGGATGAGTCTAACCAAGCATGACGTCTACAATGAATTGAAATGTGCTGATATTGACCGTGAGTACTTTTGTCTCATCATTTTTATCATAAAAGTTTTTGGGAATGTATATTGTCTGTTAGTGACTTATAAATATGAGAAATAAACCTCATTTATTATTTGTCAAAAGTATATGCAAATCGCATACGTGAGCCCTGGATATCCACAGATAAATGTAAAAACCTTCCCTAAAAGCCGAGACTGTAAATTCCAAAAAGGCAAAGTTTCCCCCGCGCCCCCCCCCCAAAAAAAAAAAAGCTAAAGAGGATAGAGAGAAACACTGTTAACTAATGATGTATGGAGGGGATTATAATCAATGTAA